ACCATTAAAATTTACAAAAGATTCCAAATCGGCCCAAATTTGATTAATTTTTGCATCTTTTTAATCGTTTTTCAGTTGAAATTTAGTTAGGTTTGACGAAAAAACTATGAAAATACTTGCTATTAGGTTACCAGAGGTTTCAGGACCATAAAGTTTGTTCCCCGATATCGCGAAAGCACCAGAGCTAATAATCAAGCGTCCAACACGAACCGTGAAATATTTCGATGGGTGATAATCTCGGCGACAACTGGATTGAGTGGTGGCGGATAGGGGAGATCGGTGTTGTAGACGGCAATCTGGCCACACAACACCACGCGCCCATCCGCGTTCATCTACAAGAAACAATGGTAAATTGGTAGGGAAACATACCCGCTGGATCACCGCATCGGAAACGAAGCCGCCGACGTTGTCAAAGTAGATGTCGACACCCGAGGGCGCCAAATCGGCCAATCGGTCTCCGACAGATTCGTTCCTGTAATATAGGGTAGAAAACGAGGGGCAATGCCGCGCAATTAAATTTCGTGTAACTTATAACTTTGTAGATTTCTTTCTCAAAGTTTTTCTGTGCCGACATCGATGCTTCTTATTCCAGCCATTTCTGCGGGTAAAATCGAACAAAAAGTTTTTTCCCCCAATTTCCGGACCGAAAATGAAAACGACTGGCAAAACGATGGCGCGTCTTTCAGTTCCAACCCGGCATTTTTCCTTATAAAACGAACTTGTAATTGATGGCGGCGTCAAACCCAAGCGTCTTCGTAATCCAGCGACATTTCTCTTCAGATCCACAAATGCCGATGACCCGTGAACAGCCCTCGAGCCGTGCAATCTAAAAACTCACATGGATCTCCCCAAAAAACCTTCACCTGACCAGCCAATGATCCACAACTTCCCCCCGCGGCAGAGACGACGATCGTTTCTTTGCGGTCTTTCCGAATCTTTGCCTTCTTCCGAATTCCCAATAAAGCCGTCATGCCAGAGATGCCGACGCCCGACAGGATGATTTTTGGTGAGAGGCCCCGGGGCAGTTCGACCTAAATATTACGTCAGTACTGTTTGCGGCGATAGTTGCGGCACGAAAATTGTTTTTCACTTTCATCGGCCCATTTAAATAGGTCCATTCATTTTATTTCTCCACTCAGTAAGTGATAACGATCCGTTGACTCTAACATGAAAAGCGCCGCTGTTTCATTTGGTCAAAAACTGTTGACCGCATGCGTTCAGATACGAAAAAGACTAGCACATACCTTCACTAGATCGTTGCCATCCGCGATAAAAACTCGTGTCCACGGCCACAAATGTGCACATGCCGTGACGATGTCGCCCCGTTGGAGTGTGCACTCAATTGTCGCCACCTAGTCAACAATTTCTGACAGGAAATTCTCGGGTATACCTCGACAATGCCGATGCCTTCCAAACCGTCCACCAGACCGCCCTCTTCATATGGGGCCAAATAGTCGACGCCCGTCACCTTGTTCATCCGACAACGCTAAAAAATAAAGGAATTTTCAATAATTCCTTAAATTTATGCAATTTGGTTATAACAGGGAATGTATTCAGGTACTTTTTACCACTATTTTTAAATCCAAACCAGGGTTGAAAAACCGCTTCGCGGGTTTTCAACCCTGGCCCCGTCTAGGACAGATGAAAGTCTTCAATTTGCATGCTTCTTCCCCGAAATCTATCAGGAAAAAAGTGAAAAACGGCTCTTCTGTCGCTTTATATAGGCTATCCCGCTTCCGGCTTATGCTAATTGATCCCTAACAAAGAGGGTGGGCGAGAATTTTACAAAAATTTGTTTTTAATAGCGAAAATAGCCATTTTTCAAAGATTTTATGTGCGTCCAGTCGATTCCGGACCCTTCTTTACCTAATGACGTTTCTGCCCAATCGAAAAAATTCTTCCCTGAGGCTGTAGGTGCGGAACATCCTCACGGAAGTTGCATGCAAATGCACACACACACAGACGCTATTTTTTATATATAGTAGGATAGTAGGATACCCCATAAGCGGTAACTAAAAAATCACGAATCCATAAAAAGTATCGAATTTTTCGAGCGAAGTGATCAATTTGGACAGAAAATCCGAAGTTTTGCCAATGAGATCGAAGCCGATTTAAAAATTCTTGCCTACGAATTTGGTTAGTCGCAAGACATTACAATTCTTTTGAAAGTTGTTGCTAGAGAGGCTATAGCCATAGAAAAACGTTGGATTTCCCGTCGAAGGTGCGAAAGTATTGAAAATTCTATCAATTTGTACCTGTGCGGGATCGGCACTCAAATACAGCGTGCGCACGATGCATTGCCCCGTTTCCAAGTCGTCTCGTGTTGGTAGATGGCATGGCTCGTGTTGAAAGCAAGAAGCCGTCGGCGGGCTGTTTTCACCTAAGACTAGATATTTTCAGCTTATTTCGTATGGAACTTTCTAATGAAATAGAACGCACCAGGCCTCTTCAGAAATATTATTCGCTCGTTGTCGTTGACTCCGCTGCATCCCTCAGCAAGGCCGCGGCTAGAAAGGCCTATTTCTACCCGAATTCCAATTATACCTTTGCACCGAAGCCAGCATCCGGTACTGCGCTCGACGTCAGCTGCTTGTCGTGTTACCTGAAAAGTAAAGTTGAGCAATTTTACGCTTCATTATATGAAAAGCACGAGAAATCGATAGGGATCGCCCTAAATTGCGGCCCACGCTGATAAGAGTGCCTGCGGGGAAATTGTACAAACCGACGGCCAAAAGGTCATGAGGCAGAGAAGGAGATGTTAGCAGCCGGTTATTCTGTCTTATTGTCAGCTTCTAGTCTTCAAGTCGGCACATGGAAAATGGATAAAAGGAACAACAAACCGAGGACCGGGAAGGCCCCACGGCCGTTCACATGGACATTCACATGCTGGAAACGGAGGGAATGGGCCTAAATGGGAGGGCGAGGGACGGATGGTGCAAAGGAAACACGCACACACACAGCAACTCACTTTTTGCAGCCTCTCTCTCTCCTCACGAGTCTCCCAAAATCTCTCGCCGACTCGATGGCACAATACAATTCCCCCCAATCCCAATCGATCTATGGCCGGTTAGGTGATGTGCAGTCATCGGCAGATAAAATTCTAAAACGTCGAGCAGAAATCTACTTGAAAAATTCAAGGTGGCCCCCGAAAAAAACACTCCTCGGCATTTGTTCACCTTCTAATATTGCAAGGTGTCAATCCAGTCGCAATTTCTACCAGTGATTCATGGACCTGAAACCTATGTGCGCGCGACAACTTTCCTTAGGAAAGTGGAGAATTTCGGCTTCGAAATGCTTAGCAAAAATAAAAAGCGCATTCCTACCCGGATCCGCGATATCTTTTGTTAATACAAAATCATATCGAAGAATCAAAAACCGAGTACCAAAAAATCTAGCAGGGTATGGGTTTTTGGAACATTGTAGGGATATGCGTTCGATGCTTGTAATAAGCTGTACAGGAATTTTGCCCAACGGGCTAAACGGGTAGTGGGCGCTGAAAGATCTGTGATGGGGAAGGAGGATCCAAAAATAGCCCCATATCCGGATCAATGATTGGGGATGCGGGGGTCGGGAATACGACATGTGAGGAATGGGTAGCCGCCCACAATCAATCAAATGTTTTGCCAATTCCCGAACACTACACGGAGCATCTTGAGAAATCGGATGACGATATGAGGACACTAAATAAAATTAATTTTTGCCGCAGCACCATAATTTCTGCAATCTGGGATACTGAAAAATGGCTTGGTAAGACCAAAAAAGGGCATCAATTGGCCTGGGAATGGGATCAGGAGGAAAGGCTCAGTTAGCGCCCGGTCAAACGCGCGGTCTGCGTCTCGAAAAAGGACATCGTTCCTAAGCATCAGACCGTGGAGCATCATTAGGCCGGAGATCAGAAGTGCAAACGCCAGAGACAAAGTTCTCCAGAAAACTAGAAGGATAAAGCACGATCTCCAGGCAGAATAGGTAGACGCGAGAGCTCCTCCCCAGCGGGTTTAAAATATCTTTAAAACCCCAGGGATTCGCTCAGGAAATAAAAGGGGTGACTTCAGCCTAGCACCCAGACTGGAATCTGATCAAGCAATAATGGCTCGGGAACGCGCTTCCTGGGCCATAGCAAACACTAGTGTGACAGCCCGTTAATCCGTAGCGAAATCTATGTTGCGTATCCCTAAGTGCCATCGAGATTCATAAAGTAAAAGTTAGATTCATAAATTAATTAATAGGATCTGTATAGCTATATATCGTTAAACTACAAAAGTCCGAGAGTTTTCGATAGCGCTACCGTCGAAAAGAGAATTGTTAGCTAGTTATTTCTGACTCTCGTGTCTCAATATGCGGAAAACCAAATACGCACTAGCTGCAACACTCATAGATAGAAAAATGACGCTACGAAATAGCGGTCACATGGTCATCATTTGATCGACGCAACTACAGCTCGGATCCGCGGATGCTGGGGAGAAAGAGCCAAGGTTCGCGCGCGAAAAAGATCGGGTGACAGACAACCCAACTGGGTGACTGAGCCAAAAAAAGATATCAGAAACCGTACGCTTTGTTTTTCATACGTAACCGACCCGTGCGACCGACTTGAAAACTTGAATAACCCTGTCGACGCGGTGAGTGAGCTGGCGGCGGACATTTAGGACAATCTGCAGTATTCCAAGCATTTCCAGCTAAATCAAAATCTACACCGCAAAGCAGCAATGAGAAAACTCTTTGCCTTAGGTTTCAAGTTCTTTATTCCGTTGAATAAAAGGCAATCGAACAGGTCGCTGGATATCGGCTAATTAAAGAAACACAAGCGAGAAGGCTCAAAACAGGACCACAATTACATCAAAAACGATTTCTACCTTCTACCGGGTCCGACAAAACAAGTCCCAGAGTCTAACTGGTTGTAAGAATCTAAGAGGCCACACTATACAAAACGATAATTGATTTGAAGGCTAGATACAAAAAGTATCACGGAGGTACCGTTTCACAATGAATGGTAGAGTATTCTAGACCTTGGCGACATCCGGAGCCGGCTTCGTCTTCAGCCCGACGAGGAGGGACTTGATCTCACCGATGGCGCGGGCAGGGTTCAGATGCTAAAAAAGATGATACCTTTGAAATGGTAAACGTTCGTTAATTCTCACTATATTTCGATCTTTGCTATGTCGATTCTCCGTGCTTCTAGGTTATCGGGGTCCGTTATTTTAGCGGGGGACGGTTGCGAACTTTTTTTCTATAATATCGTGCGGCTCGGCTAATTAAAAGCTGGCCGTTTTTATAGACTTGTGCGCCGTTTGAAATGGTTCTGGACTGTTAGCGGGGGAGAAGACATTAAGAAAAACGTCATATAACCTGTTGAAAAAATTTTTCTTTTTCAGTCTAACGTATATGAAAATGGTTAAAACCGCGCTATAACCCTAGATTTCGTGACTATAGGATAAATATTTATATAATTTTTGATTATGGGAAGCTACTAAAAACAGTATTAAAATAAACTACAATTTATCACTAGCCAGGTATAGGCTAAACAAAAAGAAGATGCCAACCGTCCCCCGCTAAAATAACCGACCCCCGATAACCCGGAAGCACCCGATTCTCTCGCTATCTTACAATCCTAGACTTCCTCAAACTTCGGCCTCGGGGAAAATCGGTATAGCCAAAAAGCCACAGCCAAATCACCTTAGGGCAAGTCTTCGTGCAGTTGAGAATGGTGTGGCATTTGAAGGCCGAATACGCATCGTGCATACGGTGGAGACGTTCCAAAGCGTAGTCGTCACGGGAGTCAATCACCCATCTGGAGAACAGAATCAACTCTCACAGTTTCATGTTCAATCTTATTTTCCTCCCACTATTAGCCCTTATAACGATCTATACTGCAAGATGACCCCGATATATTTATGCCATAATTCTTTTATTGATACCAATTATTTATCTGGTATCACCTTCAGGGGCGTAGCCAGAAAAAAATTTCGGGGGGGGCCCAAAAATAGCTCTACAAATAGCCGTAAAAACGTGAAAAAAATAGCGCCGCAGGCAGCAAAATTTTTGAGAAAATAAAAATCATAAGGGTCCCCCCTTATGAAATTTTCGGGCCCCCGCCGATTTCGGGGGGGGCCCGGGCCCCCGGGGCCTGTATTACGCTACGTCCCTGATCACCTTATAACTGTTTTTTTTTGTTAGTTTCGTACCCATGATTCCGTTTTATTGCCCGGTTGAAACAAAACATTCATATAAATAAAACGAACCGATAAGCCTGCATGAGAACGGCAGGGCCGAGGTATTTGTCGGCATTCCACCAGTAAGATGGGCAAGACGTCGAGCAGCACGCGCACAGAATGCACTCATAGAGACCATCCTAAAATCATGACGTCAAAAACAAAGAAACTATATTACCAGGCGCTCCCGCTCCTTGACGCTTTGGTGCATTTGTTTGTCGCCGAGGGTCAGCTTGTCCTTCTTCTGAATCCACGGCTGGATGGAGGCGTATTGGGCGTAGAAGAGGTTCATGTCCGGCACAAGATCCTAAAAAAAATGTTCCAAGAGCTATAGTGGAAATATCCGAACCTTGACAACAAACATGTGAGGCAGCGGGTAGATCTTTGTACTCTTGCTCGTGTCGTCATCAATCTTGCAGATACAGGCCAGCGTGTTTGTCCCACCAATGTTCATCGAACACGATCCGCAGATACCTGTTACATTTTATAAATAACACTCTAACTCTTACCTTCACGACAGGAACGCCGGAAAGTCAGGGTCGGGTCGTCTTCGTTTTTAATCTTGATCAGCGCGTCGAGGATCATTGGGCCACACTTGTCCAAATCCACATCGTATCGCTAAAAATGATTTCTCGCAAAAATTCATTGGGGAGCTTGTAGAGCTCATGGAAACCAGTCACCAATCACGCCAATTTTCAGCTTGCTTACCTGCATATACGGCTTCGAGCCAGCCTTGTCCGGATTGTAGCGGTAGATTTCGAAGGTTTTCACCTAAAAAGATATTTGGGATGATCCGAAACTCTGCCACAAAATAAATAACCCACCCGCTTCCCGACAGCCTTGGTCGATGCGGCACGAGCAGCAAGGGCGGCCTGACGCGCCAGCATCCTGAAATAAATCCAAGTAAGGGGTTCAAAAATTGGCACTTTTTGCGTAGAGAAAATCCAATCAGCAAAAACAGCCTTCGGTTGGACGTTCTAGTGGGCTACAACTCGCTACTAACGCCTATCCACTGGTTATATGCTCGCAACCCAGTTTCAACGAAAGGGAGAGATAGAAAAGCAGTTTCAACTTCTGAGCTGTTTTTTTCGAAAAAATCCACATATCAAAACGTTTATTCGTCTCTTGCCCGAGTTGACAATAGCGAATCGAGTGGAAGTGAAAAGGAGGGTAATACCGGTCAAGAAAGAGATCAATCACAAAGCGATGTTTGTGACACGGGTTAATAAACATAATTGATATATTGCTTATGCGGGCACAGGAGTACTATCTTTTTCGGTGGTATTTCCGAGGGGCACAGGCTGCCGTCGTTCTTCTAAGCAATCCGGCTCGACAGCCAAGTGTTCGAAGTATTCGCTTGAATTTGCCCATTCCAGCCCACACGTCGCGCACATGCATCGCTCGTCGATCTGAAAGTTGCTAATGGTATTTCTGCACAAGTAGAACTTACCTCAAATTCATCACCGAACGCGCTCGCCTTCGTGCTTGACTCCAAAGAATCTATGTCGATCCCTGTCCCCTCGGAAAGCCGATCGATGCAAGTATCACTAAATAAGGTAATTAGCAATGGGATACGTTACTATTTTCATCGGTTATTTTGGTATAATAAGAAGGATTGAATTAAACTAGCAATAATTCACCCTAAGTGGTACTTTAACGCATCTGAGAACAACTTTGGGTAAATGGGACCTAAAGTTTGAACGCTACAAGGGTTTAATACTTATAAAAAACAAGGCTACCTCAGCCTCCGTATGCCACTTTCATCTTCAGGCCTTTGCAGGATAGGATCAAGATCTTCGTCGCAGGTGTACTAAAATTAACTACAAATACATAAGCTAAAGTGTACCGTAAAAAGACGATAATGCTGCGGGTTTGGAAGCCGTTCCATTACAGCCAACTTGTCCTTTGCTTTACTCCGCACACCCAGCGTCATTATTTTTTTGTTCTAAAAACTTTAATAAAAAGCTCATTCAAAAAGCCTGCCATTTTCAGGGTCAAAGTCGCGGGGCCTTCTCCGGACACATGGATGGACGAGGGCAAACTCAAGTTCTGGCGTCGTCATTTGGCAACTAAAAACTGCGGTAAAAGATAGTTAGCGGGGGGGGGGGGGCTAGCTCGTATAAGCATATTTAACAACATTTTAGCAATCGCGGCTTCTTATCGTTGTTGAGTGATTTTTGGTCACGAAAAAATCTCATATATTTTAGAGGAAAATCAAAGTTTAGAGAATTTAGAAAAATTCAGGAAAGAAGCGTAGAAAAGTCTTACATATCGCAAAGTAGGGGAATACACGCGGAAACGGGAAGTAGTAGACGGTCCTCTTCTTGATCTTGGCCGCAATGCTGCGTTTCACGACGATCCCGCGGAAACGGTGAGACCTATAGACTGTTTTTAGGAAAAAGTGAATCAGTAGTAACAAAAAGCACCGGTCCTAAACATCGGTGGGGCTTAATCAAGTGTGATGGGTCTGTTTCCAGCCCGTCACCCTCGCTGCTCGGCCTGGGGCAATAAAGCAGCGGAAAGAGCACCGACCAGGGGACCAGGTGTCGATATCCTGGGTGGATCCATCGCGTCAAGTGCTCCGGGCAGCTCGTTAGCATTAACCGACTCGGGTCCTCTGAAAAACGCGATTTACTTTCGTAAACTAATAGCATTCAAGTCGCCGATGATATTTTTCGTAATAAGAATGCTTTTGCTTGCTTTTGAAAGTTGTGGTACTTTTCCTGCTCTTCTTCCAGCAATTCATGTTGTTCATGTGCAATTTGTTGACAGCCTACAACCCTAACCTTCATCCGTAGAAGCTGATACCCCAAAATATCGGGTTTTTCGTTCTTTTTCTTTAGTTTTCATTTCTTTTTCTGGACTATCGCTTCAAGAAAGTCGAAATTGAGGCGCCCGGATGCTACGATCCACAAAACTGCCGCTATACTCGAGATCTTCGAGCATGAATATTTCTTCGTTTTAGCGCTGTAGCGTAATCTAATCTATGAATTAGCCATTTATAATAAAATAAGCTAGAAACTTACGTATCCCACAACGTTTCTTCTGCGTAAACTTGAACTGATATTTTTCCGGGTTGAAGGGAAAGCCTCTTTTGATGCGCGGAAGTGGGGCCCTCGCATCGACGATGTTCGTTGCCGTTGTATTGTCGCTGCTCATCTTCGTCGACCAGGCGGCGGGCAGGGGAGGCCGTCGAGGTAGACTTCTTGGAGGGAACTAAAACACTTTTTTAGGAGGAAAAGGCAAGGGCAAGAGCAATCTGCATTTCTCGCAAGTCGCCGAGTTTTCGTTAATTCAGATGCAATTGACGGACAATAGGGTAAGCTAGGGGAGCAACAAGGAATTATAGAGCTATTGCGTCTACGGTCCTCGTCAATGGTCATAAAAAACTATTTTCAGAGCGCGCAAATCATCACCGGGTCGCACTTCAGTCAAACGTTTCGACTTGGCTATAAGCAGGTGCTGATCTGCAAGGCAAAAGGCGACCCACGGCCAACCATAAAATGGTATAAGGAGGGCGCCGAAATCCACTTACGGCCAAATATACATGTAAGTCAGCTAAATTACAATGGGAACAGGACTTTCGCAGTTCTACGAAAAACCGCTGCCGGATAATGTTATGTGGAGCAAATTAGAAATTGATCCGGCCACGATGGGTGATCAGGTACAATCGACATCCGTATCCTCCTATTTCTTTACAGGGAATCTATGCGTGTGTCGCCAACAATAAATGGGGAGTGATGGCCAAAAATTTCAAGGCAGATTATACCTATTAATATCCCGATCAATGCGCTGCATAAAAGTTTTAATATTGTCACCATGAACAGCGCAAAGGCCAAGAATCGTAAACTATCCAAAACAAACGAGATCGGCAAAAGGCAATAGAGAATCGTTTGGGAATTTTCTTGATTTTGGATGATGTCGAGAGCCCGGCTACCATAACCCCAATCTATATCTCTCAAAAAAAACGAGTAACGTCGCTAATCATACTTTAACGAGGACTATATTTCGCACCTAGAATCTCGCGTTAGCCAGCTTCGAAGCGGCCACAGGTTTTACTCCGCAAACAAGGCACAGGGAAGACTGGGTAGTAATAGCATTGAGTCTCCAGCTGCGGGCTACAGACTGCATTGCCACCAACAGGGCTCACCGCACACGCGACGCAGCCCCAAATTCTTCTGGCCCTCCCCAAACTAAAGCGGCTTCCACTACAACGCTCATCCTCTCGCCAAAAACCACTTTTTCGCCGGCCTTTTTGCATCTAAATAACGAGGACTTTGTTCTGGAGCATCTTCTAGTGTAGTGTAGAGCTTCTAAAGTCTAGATACAATACTACTTGATTTCGGCTCTATTTATGTGAAACAAGCTAGGACGCCATCATGCATTTCCCCGGTTATTCATTGCATTTTGTGCCCCCTTACCAATTTTAAGCCACCCGTTTCCCCTAAATTGAAGTATGACGAAGTGGGTACCCCGCTACAAAATGGCAAACTCGCGTGCAATAGAAATCAATCTAAATTGCTTGACACTTTCTGTAGGGAAATACCACGCTGGAAGGCAAAAGGCAAGGGTAAATTACCGAATCAATGAGAACGGCGTCGCCTCAGTCGTCTTCGAGGTGGTGGGTCGTCGCACGAAAATTGGCCCCTCTTGCTCAGCCAAACCACATCGATCGATTGTGCTGCCTATTCCCTTGGGCCACCTGAAAAAATGCAATGTTCTTCTTTCTGTCGATCATCAAAGCCGAACAGAGCAAAACAGGGACACATCAGGAAGACCGGCGGGTAGAGATAAAGGGGTGTTGCGAAACATTCTACGTTAGTCATCAATTGGGTGAAAGATAGAACGTTTTGTGACGCAAACTTCCGCGATCTCTTGAAATCATGAAAATAATTCAAAAATTCGATCCTCAGTGCCAACGGGACTTTCCGATCGACGATTGAGCGTCATCTTGTTGTCATCGGAACTTACGACTGAATTTTTCCGACTAATTTTTGTTTCCTTTCTTTTAGGTTGTTTTCCACGAACATATTTGGCTTTCCATTTTTTCATAAAAAATCTGGCGAATTGATAATTTGACAGGTTGCCTCATTCCTACGCCAAAGCTCAAGACTTTCAGGAAGTACTAGTAGAATGTACGCCCTCTTTTCCTACCATCCTAGCCCGTTCGCCGTTTTGAGCTTATTACTCTCTTTGAGCGCATTTGTCCATCCATTATGCCGAATAGAGGCTTTTCTGTCATTATTCAATTTGAGGTTCTCAGGACCAGAAACTTCTTACTTTCTACCTATGCGTTCTATATACGTAAATTTCTCTTATTTTCAGGTTGTCCTACGGGTTTTCTTCAAACGTTGGAACGATGCAGACGATCAAATGTGTTGTGGTGGGTTGTTTTTTTGCGACGATTCGGGGGCAAGGGCGTCGTGCTATTTTTCTCCATGGAATCGGGCAATTTTCAGGTCGGTGATGGAGCCGTGGGTAAGACGTGCCTCCTAATCTCCTACACCACTAACAAATTCCCGTCGGAATATGTGCCGACTGTATTTGATAACTACGCGGTATGCTGTTTTATATTTTCGCGTTTGAGCACCACTTTAGGTCACGGTCATGATCGGTGGCGAACCGTATACCTTGGGGCTCTTCGACACGGCCGGACAGGAAGACTATGACCGGTATAACTCGCATTCAATTTTTTTAACGTGGCTGTGTTTAGATTGAGGCCGCTTTCTTACCCGCAAACCGACGTGTTCCTCGTTTGTTTCTCCGTGGTTGCCCCAGCTTCATTCGAAAACGTCAAGGAAAAGGTATGGTTACTGCTGTTTTTTCATATTCTGTTTAGTGGGTACCCGAAATCGCACATCACTGCTCAAGAACACCATTTTTGCTGGTCGGCACACAGGTATGGATCTTTTTGTTCCTCAGACAACCAAACGCTTTTCAGGTCGATCTTCGGGATGACCCGGGAATGCAGGAGAAGCTCGCAAAGAACAAGCAAAAGCCGATCAGCACCGATATGGGCGAGAAGCTGGCCAAGGAACTCAAGGCGGTCAAATACGTCGAATGCTCAGCTTTAACGCAGGTAAAGGATTACGCAAGGATTTATAAAATCCACTCGTTATGCCGGGATTATTCACGGCGAACGTGGCCTGCCTGCAGTCCATATACACCATGCCTTATTACTGCAATCCGGGGGTAACGCGTGTATTTTAGACGTTCTGCAAGATTTTGTAAAAAATTATGTTTATGTTTTCAGAAGGGACTGAAAAACGTGTTCGACGAGGCAATTCTTGCTGCACTGGACCCGCCCACCGACAACAAGAAGAAGAAGTGCGTCATCCTGTAGACGGACTTCGTACGGTGACGGTTGTGCAGCACTTTTCCATAATTTATTGCCACGTTTTTGGTATCATCCCTCCTGCTCTTCCATTTTGACTTCGCCCCTAGCTCCCATTGAGACCTGCCTTCCATTTCCTGTTCGGCTAGTGCACTTATGCAGCCAATTGCGTGTGTGTTTGTGAGCCTTGAAATTTGCCGAATTTTCCTTTTACAACCACTATTTTTAAGTTCCATGGCCCCCACATAACCAGCGTCTTCATTCAAATTCCACTAGCCATGCCTGTCGGTTCATTCGTTTTATTGTTCTCCCGCGCGCGCGGGATTCTGTGACCGAACCCGAAACAATTTTGGCAAACCCACAGGTTCTCCTCGCGCCCCGTCCCCTTCCCGACTTACTACCGAAATAAATCTGTGAAATGGCGTAATGTGTGATTCTCGTCAGCCCGGATTTTGCGACACTTTGCCTTGGCCTTTCCCCCCTATCCTCTTCTAATCTCGCTTATCCAACCCCGCGTCTGTCCCTTACCGTCTTCTCATAGTGCTTTGGAATCCTGCGGTTGAGTTTTTGACCCGCACCAGTCACCAAAAACAGCCGTCCCCTATTTATCCACGACTTTTGCTCACGTGAAGTTACAAGTTTATTCCGCTCGACGGCGGCTTTATATTCATCCTCCACCACCCTTTTTACGGCAACAATAAATTAGATGGCCACCGCTCTATACTAATACACAATTGAGTCTTTGTCTTTGCGGCGCATCTTGGTATTGAAATGAACACAGAAGGCCGCTTCGTCGGAGCCGTCGCTGGAAATTGTGGGAATGGAAAGGAGTTGTGTGGGTAAGCGACGCATTGGATGTAATGCTGTCTAGGTGGAACCTACCGGCAATCCCTTCTACCATCACAAACGGAGGCTGGCGCTACGCATCCGCCATCGCGGCACGCGAACCACTTTGTTAAACAACCGCCACTAAGGCCACCAAGTGGCCAAGCACCTGATGACACAACCTGAATGGAAAATCTTGCGGCCTGGCTCAGCACAACGCTGTCTCTGTAAGGACCTGCTAGGAAGTGGTTTTGTTTAGCGCCATGAAAAGCTCTGAAGCGAATGCTCCACCGGTTTGGACCGACCTGCTTGGTGCGCTTGCAAATTTTTGGGCTTTCATCGGAGCGATCCTCACAGTCGTACCGCCCATCGCACATCCACCTACGGGAAAAGTAGGAAAACTCAAAGAGTCATATACCGCTTATCAATACATTGCATTCCATCTTCGCATCGGATTCTCCCTCGCCCGTCACAACTAGAAAATAAACCCACGCCTAATTTTGGCCAATTTGCACATTTTTATGCCGATTTTAGCAGAAACGGGCATACATTCTCGGCGTTTATACGAAGACCATGGATTTTTTTTTGTTTTCTAGAACCAGACAAGGATAGGTTTTAGAAACAACATCGTCTGTCTGTCATGAACAGCGCCCCCCGAACGGTAGCAAAAGGCAAATTGCTTACGCCGGCAAAGCAATCCCATCTTCCCTTCCTTTAGCAGACAATACAAGCAGCAGCAGGACCGTGCAAGCGAAGCGGAAACCCTCCATAACGCAAGGCATGAAAATGGGATGTTTATGCCCCGAGCAGCGCTAGATGGGATGCGTAACTTGATACGCAAGCCCGACGGAATGCCCAAGCAGACCAGGCAGCCCAAGGTTTTCCTTTTTGAAATTTAGGTGAAATCTTTGTCTTAGTGTCATCGAAAAAAGCTGTCGTATTTAGTGTGTAGTTCGAGTGTCCATTCCAGTACTGAAAATATTTTTTTTCTTCAAGAAAAAACCTGATTAAAAAGGAACTAAACGACAGAAAGGGCATCGACGGTTTTCGCGCGTATTTTGCAAGGAATATTTTTCGAGCCAGAGCTACCATTAATAAACCAATTCCTTGCAGAAAACGACTCGAAAACCCAAAATCTGGAAACCGGGTGTAAAGTGTATACGGGGGAGAGAAATCACAGTCAACCGAGGATATAGTAGGCCGGCTGTTTAGGCGAATTCCCGTCCAACAGGTCGAAAAGACCGTGAAAAATTGGGAAATTCGACTAAATTTTGGCCGGAAGAAAAGGAAAGGGAAAAAAGACGCTGAACCGACGTTTCTAGTTTTTTAACAGTAGGTTAATGAAAAAACGGATTTGTGAATTTGGGGGTATTGCGAGAAGGCACTGTATATGTGTGGAGTAGAATATACTGGAAAGTCTACGGCAGGATAGAGACGGTATCGACAACGAAATGCGACGAAGCTGAACAGCGAATAACTTTTGAGGAGCAATCTTTTGAGGTAACCTCTTTTCTGCAAATTGTTTGTTGGGTTCTTTTTAGGCCAACCGACCAGGCCAGCTGCTCCCCAAAATTTGTGGAAAGTCATGAAGCCAGACATGAAAAGAGGCAATTAGCAAATTTCGAACGGTTAGCACGCTCCCATTTGTAGGGGTACTATGGAATAATGCCTCGTAATTCGTAATCTAATCTAACAGAGCTTGTGTTATTCTAAAAAAAAATAGTTTTTAGCGAGCATTTCAGCGCTTAAATGACGAACAATATACTACCAGAAGCGTGTGAACCGTTTGACATTTGCTAACTGCCGAAAACAAGCGGAAAAAACTGACTATATATTTGTTAGGTGCAATTAAGGTGACAAGAATGCGCGGAGGAATCATCGGACTGGGGGAGTGGACAAACCGGGGGGCGAAAAACAGGCTATCTTGGGCTATGTATTTTTTATTTCTGAAAATCACCGGAGTAGATAGAATTTGACAAAATAGATTCCTATTTAGAACAACGAACGGTAGTATATAAGAGGAAAAACGAAGACATCATCACACTGGGGGGCTCGCCGAATCGGGAGGGATAAACTATTTGTATATATAAATGTTTATGGGGGATTTGGAGGGAATAATTGACGGCTAACAGCGGGATCGGGGAATAGAAATCTGTAAAGCTTTTAGGTGGTTGCAGAATATGGAGAAGCCGCTGAGGGGGGCGTGATCAGACGTGTGTCGTCTTCTTGATACAAGAATGGACCTGATCGACAAAATCGGGGAAGCACTCGTGCGCCAGCTGAAACCAGATGTCTTCCAGCTCGCTGGTCCTGCAAATTGTCGAAAGTGTGGGTTTAGAGTTGTTTTTAATAAAGTTATAACATTGGTACTGTTCTCTTAGCAGGGGTAAACTATTTTGTTTTTTGTTCCCGGCCTATTCCTGTAGATAATTTAATAGATATACATTTTATAGTATTTTATTAGCTTTTGATTGCTAGAAATTTGTAAAACATATTTCAAAAATTTTTGAATAGCCGCAAATTCTATCTTTTTTGGTCAAAAACTCAAAAATTCTCGAAACAGTCTCCCCCCGCTAACAGAACAGTACCATAACAGATTTCCCAGTAATCACCAAAAGGCGAACCTCAAGCTGACGGGCGTCGCCTCGCCGTTGTGCACCGATTTGTTGTGGGAGACGAACGAGGTATGCAGCCCGAATTTGCTGTTGCACCCCGAGCAGCTCCACGCCCGCGGCCCGTGCGAGACCATGTGGCGAAGGAGTTTTTGGGCTGTCCGGTGCTTCGGGTTCACCAACGAGCCGCACTTCTGCAACGAGGTTGTTCAGATTTATTTTTTTATTGCACATTGGGTCGTTTGTCGGGTGTTTTTGACGGGTTTGCAATATCACAAGGCTCATTCGATAAAGCGTGGCATTTTCAACACGCCACGAAAAAGGTTCTGACTGTAACCGTTTTTTGTTGACCGTGGGATTTCGGTACGTGAGATAGCACATTTTGTGCAGAATTTTTCGCTGATTCCGAATCCGTTTTTAAAAGTTGCAGAACCCCGCTAGATAAAAAGTTACAGCCGGTTTTCTACCCCAAATGACCGAAAATTACAAACTTTAAATCCTTATAAAAAACTCGTGGAATATTTTGTGGCATAAAATACCGCACTCCAAGGGGTAAAAAAACGTGCTCTTTCGAATGAGCTACCTCACGAACCCGTAGCTCAAAATTCATGAAAAAAAGTTTTTCGGTGGAACTATGCCTTGGATGGCCAATTTTTGAAATTTTGTGAATTTTGAGCTACCGGTTCGTGAGGTAGCCCATTCGAAAGAGCACGTTTTTTTACCCCGAGGAGTGCTGTATTTTATCCCACAAAATGTTCCACGAGTTTTTTATAAGGATTTAAAGTTTGTAATTTTCGGTCAGTTGGGGTAGAAAACCGGCTGTAACTTTTTATCTAGAGGGGTTCCGCAACTTTTAAAAACGGATTCGGAATCAGCAAAAAATTCTACACAAAATGTGCTATCTCACGTATCGAAATCCCACGGTCAACAAAAAACGATTACAGTGAGATACCTAAATCCGCCTGTTCGGAACAAATTTTGGTTCTGGACTGTTAGCGGGGGGGGGGGTGGAACCGATTTTTCCCTTTGATTCTCTACGACCCTTTTGGTACACATAGGATAACGGGGCGGGGGGGGGGGAAATAACGGGGGGCACTCAAACTTTTATTTTAAGATAAAAGTATTTTTAAATATGCTTTTTTCGGGCTGTAAAAAAAGCTCTTAGTATATTTTTCGACGCTCTATCAAGTGGCACTCGCAAAATCCGACAGTAATTGCAAATTTCATAATAATGAGTGCCCCCCGTTATTTCATTCCCCCCCGTTATCCTATGTGTACAACCCTTTTTATAGCATTTTACATAGTTTTTAGATAGAAAAGCTTATTAAAAGTAATCAAAAGGTGCGAAAGTGTCAAAATTCTGCGAAAAATGGCCAAAAAGGTCAAAAATTTCAAAATGTTTTTTTTCTAACTTTCTAGCAATCAAACACTACTAAAAACACTATAAAACTACATAATGGATAATCAACAAGTATATGTGGAAAACAGAAAGTGGCTTTCCCCCTGCTAACCCCCCGCCGCTAACAGTCCAGAACCCAAATTTTCTCCATGGCCGTCGTTCAGCCTTTTTCGAGAAATAGGAGTTGGTCGGAATTGCGAGCTCTGTCGAAGCAGCCATGCCACTTTTTCGACATGTATCTATTTCTTTTCTCACCTTACACGTCCAGTCCCCCTTATAGGTCCATTCGGCATTCCGTTTCCGTCGTTCTTCGTCGTCAAAATCGCCGAGTAGATCTTTCTTCGGCGTTTCTTGGCGGTACGACTAAAAACAAAGTAACGGATAACTGATTCCTAGTGTATGCTCTATTCTAGTAGTAGTAGTGTAGGCTTTTAGTGCAAATCTAGTTTTCCAAATAAATATTCAGAGCGATTCGTACCTTTCCCTCGACAGGCGATCCCCAATCCGAATGTGCCTTCCTTTTTCCACTATCTGGCACTGGGGAGGTGCCGTTGGAATGTAGACGCTCAATTACGGAACCCAACGATCGTCGTGATTGCTGGAAAGCGGAAGCTTATTAAAAACAATCGGCAAGTCATTGATCATTGATTGTCTGTTGGCAAGACAGCTCTACCTTTGGATCGAAATCGTGCGGCCCATTTGGTAGAGAGGTGGATGGGAAGAGGGCCGAGACGAGATTTGCCAATGTTTCATTCGGTGCCATTGAAGATGGATCGCCATCTCCCATGTCGCCCATTTCGATGGCCGCATCTGATCCAGCCGACGCATTCAACGCTACCTGCAAGTAGGTGTATAACGGTTTTTTGGGTTTTCTGGATTCTGATTGCCGAAATTCTTACGCGTCCTCAGGTGAAAGTCATGAAAGAAACATCCGACCCCCAGATTTGTCACGGTCGGGATTTGAACCCGGGTCTTGTGCGCGGCAAGAGAACGCAAAAGCAATGACCTAATCGGCCGAGAGGATCGAAATAGCCAGGCCCGTATCGGGGGGACGAACTTTGTATTTTCGAGCCGATGCTTCTTGGTAGCAGATGGCGTGCATGAATAGGCACCAATAGGCCGCATGAGGCCATATCACTCCCCCCCCGTTAAGCAACTTTTACTTTTACCCTCAACGGTATCTAATTTGGCTAATTGTTAAATGCGCCCAAGTTGAGTTTTTACGTACATCGCTATCATCGTGTAGTGTTGACCCGGTGTGGTCGAGGTTCAAATGCAAGATGCCGGTTTTTGAATCCGACTCTCGGCGTGGTGACGGCGAATCTGATGTTGACGAGTCGGCCGAGGCAGCCGCCCCTGAAATGGC